TTTAAACGCGCCATTTGCGATATCCGCAGCTGCACTCCAGCCAGATTCCCCAGCAAAAACGACAACTCTTTATTGTCGGATGAGCACAGCACAGCAGAGAGCGATGCCGACGACGGCGGGGTCCATCCAAGAGGGGCTCGGCGAGCACAGGGGAGACTGCTGGCGCTGTACGCACACAAGCGTGTGTGTGTGTGTACGTTGAACTTATTTCGCACCGTACGTGGCCAAGATTGTTAATTGGAGGTGCGGGGGGGAAGGACGACATAGCGGCGCTCGCCCCCCCGCCCCCTTGTTGGATCCTCGCCCCGGCACGACGCGCGCGGTGCCCCGCTAGAGGCTATGGCATACACACGGCGCAGTCGTCGCGACGCCGGGAACGCGGTGCCTGGCCAGCCGTACAAATATTCCTCCTCCGTCCGTCGCTCGGCGATAATTTACCACTGCGGACGCTGGCACGGTGGTGGTGTAGATGCGCTTGGCACACCGGGGCTTGCGACGCTCAAAGGTGGCTGGTTCGATTGATTCTTCCGGCGCGGCGGTTGAAGCAACGGGGCGAGTTTACTTGAATCTCCGCTCCGCCGAGCAGCGTAATTGGGTTCACCGCAGTCAGTCAATTGGCAGAACCCGTGTGGTGGGGTAGAATGTGGGTACTCCCACCTCTTACAAGATGTTTTGCCAGGGTGGAAGTGTGTGTCAGCCAATATACGCTCCTTGCCCTTCCGCCACCAGCGGTGCGAGCAAACACATTCAGGGCTGCACCTTTATCTTTGCATGCACGTACATATGTATGTTGAGCTTCTTTCGCACCGTACGTAGCCAACCATGCTAGTCGGAGGCTAGAAGGGGCGATGGAGTGGCAGGCAAGGAATGAAATGTCGCGTGTTTAGAGGAGGTGCTGTGTGGAATATTGAGAGGTTGGCTTGGAAGGCCTTGGTCAGTCCAGCTGTCCGGCAAAATCCTCGTTAACGTGGAGCGTCGCGTCGCTAACAAGAGCGGTCTCGGCTGAGCCGCGGTGAGTGACAGCTGGTGACGGGGCATGCTGTCCCGCTCTCTCTCCTCTCCCGTTCTCTCTCTCTTTCCCACTCTCTCTATCTGGCGCTCTCTCACGCTCTCTCTCCCGCTCTCTCTCCTGCTCTCTCTCACCTGTTCTCTCTCCTTTTTTTTCCGATCAGAGGAAACAAGATGCTCGGTGTAGTCGGCACTTTGCTTCGTTCATCATTTAGTTTTTGAATGCTTTGCTTTATGTAACCCCCCCCCCCCCTTTTTAAATAAAAGATTTAACAAAAGATTTCTCGCTCTGCTCTCCTTAACGCTTCCCTCCCTCTACCCCCCTCTCTACCCCCCCCTCTCTCTCTACCCCCTCTCTCTCTACCCCCTCTCTTCCTACTCCATGTCGCTCTCGCTCTCTCTCGCTCACTCTCTCACTTTTTTAAGTACGACAAGTGCTGCATCTGTACGCAGCCCTTCTCACAGTTAAACGGCCTCCGACGGGTAGCTCATATCTGCATGCAGAGCTCTCCATCATCTGCCACCGAGCACACGGCTTCCTCCAGTGCCCACTGCTCCTTGAAGGCCGGCACGGCGTGGGTCAGCCGCGCATGGCGGAACTCCAGCCAAACCCTGGCTCCGACCAGAGCATGGAAGATGCCCAGGCTGCTGGCCGGACGTTTCCCCTCCAGGGCAACCTTCCTCGCCCTGTATATGGCGAGCTTGGCGTAGCTGAAGAGCACGTTGACCAGCCCCTGAAGATGTTGGGGTCCGTCGCCCTTCGGGTATCCAAAGATGAGGACCGTCGGGGAGAAGTGGAGGCTGAACCTTAGGAGGATGTTTCTCAGGACCTTGAACAACGAGTCCAGGCTCTTACACTCCACGTATTGGTGCGCCACCGTCTCCACTTTACCGCAGAACCGGCACTCCGGGGACGTGTCGGTGTTCTCTCTCTCTCCCACTCTCTCTCTCTCCACGCTCACCGAGGTCACAGAATTCACATGACGCTGCTTTCAGCATCGTAATCTTGATTCAGGCTGGAGGAATCCGAGGGCTGTGGAGCTCTTTTTTTCACAGATGCCCAGTAGGATATGTGTGAAATGGTGCGGGGGAAGCGAAACGCAAAATAAAATCGAAAGGGTGGTGCCCCTGTAGAGGTGTGAGCGTCAGTGCCATCTGCTGCTGTTTTACTTGGTCCAAATGTCTAAAGGCAGCAGCAAGAGCAGCAGCATACCACTTTAAAGTGACCCAGTGAACCTGCACTCAATGAGTTACTGAGTGTAATGGGTTAAACTGAGTCGCAGACATAGACTTTGGAGGCAACACATTTATTCAGTTCCAACACTCGGGGTAACTTCCCCTTAACAGAATAACAACCTAAGGTGGTGACCACCCGGCTAACTACACTAGCTACCACTTACTGTTACTACAGACCCAGGACTAGAACATCCACCGGGGTCCACGTGCTGGAAGACTTGTTGAACGGAGATCATAGACGAAGGGTTTGTTCCAGGATGAACAACCTTGGGCCCTCTCGGGACCCGGCTTATATTCTCTGTGTGCGTAGCCGGCTCCGCCCTTGGCCACGTCCACCTTCCAGAATCCTGGGGAAGGATCTGGGTCCCAATCACGTGACTCCCCTAGCCCCCTCTTGGAGCCCCTCTGTCAACTTAACCGGTCAGGTGTCCTCCAGGGTCAACCAGAGTGCCATGGTCTCACACAACCTTATCCTTAGGTCGGCACCCACACACCATGTCCTGTAGGGCCGGCACTGGACTTACAGCCTGGTGCCATCCAGTGCTATTATCCAGCGCACACCGTGCCCTTCTAGAGCTGGTACGAAACCCACAACATGGTGGCATCCAGCGATGTCATAACACATGCAAATGCCATGAACTGCACTCTTGTTGGCAGCCTCAAAATAAAATGTTTAAGATGAATCCTCATGACTGTGCCGTGCGGAGCGGTTTGGCGTCGGCGCGAGATCTGCGGAGGTAGTGGGTCGCACGCACGCGGGGTGGCGAACGTCGGGGTAGGGAATGTCGTGGTGGGGAGAACGTCAGGGTGGTGAACGTGTCGGGGTGGCGAGGGTAAAAAGAACTATTATAATATTTTGCTACTGGCAAAGGAGGTTCCAATGGTGTAAATGCTTACCCCGAGCTCTCATACTCTGATGGTGCATTGTCTTTGAGTTGTGCGCCTTTTGGCGTCTTCTGGTCCAACACCATGTGAGACGAGGCTCTAAGGGTGTGGACCAATCAATTTCAAGGACAGTGCAAACGTTATGTTTTTTTATTTGCATTCCGACCGCAGGTATTGTAGTCAATGCAAACATGACTCCTTGTAAAAAAAGGTGTCAGTTTTGTTGCCAGATAAAAGGGTAAAAAAACAATTATCATTAACAGTATTATTATGCCTTGTAGAATGCTTTGATGTCGTCTGCCGGCTGAGTCGCCCTTGACAAAGAGCTTCTTGGCTCTACGGGCTTTATTCAGTGGGAAATGAGCTTCCGGCTGTTCTGGAAGTGTCTCAACACGACGCTCGGACTGCTTCCCTGTGAACGTTAGCCACCCCGCGGCGTAATTCCAAGAAGTGGGTTGGCGATTGTGAGCCGGCGTTATGCTCCACATTTTTCCAGACTTAAAAATAACTCCTTAAATTACTTTTATGAGGTGATGCATAGCTGCAATCTTGCCCACTCCCCCCCCCCAAGCAAGAAAAACATTTGGTAGGACCCCACCTGAAAAATAAGTTTAATGCAGAGAGTGGGCAAAGGTAACCATTGTTATCCGTGCAAACAACACTTGTGCCCATGCAGTGCTTTATTTGCCACGGTGGCTCGATGTTAACTACCTCGCTAGGTATACAGGAGGTTATGGGTTCGATCCCGAGCCTGACGCCTGTATATGTGGAGTTGGTTGTGTCTCTCTCCCCGTCTCCCCGTGGTCTCCAGGTCCTCCGGGTTTTCCCTTCGACATTTTAAATCAACATCACGCATTTAGACTATTTGGCTGTTGTATATTACCACACGATAAACCACTTCGTTAAACTATCATTTGTGGACAGGTGGCTTCTGAAAAAGAGCTGCATAGCACAGGGTACTAACCGTGACACCAAAGCAGCTTCCCAAGATGTTGATATATATTTTTTAATGCACAGATTTAAAACGTTCTTCCTCGGGCCTTGTGTATTAACCTGCGAGTGTGTGTTCTCTAATGCGCGTGTTCCCCTTTCTGTCTCTCGATGAAATTCCGAGTATGCAGCCTTCTGCTTAGCTCTGGTTAAATCACTCCAGGTGTGATGCGAGAGTGTCGCTCAGCACGTGTGCTACCGCCACGTTCATAGCGCTGTCGCGCGACGGACCCGGTCACACGAGTTCAATTCGCGCTCACGGCCAACGTCAGTGACGATTATCTGAACTGGTGCTGGGCCTCCCCTAGCACCGATTCGGCCTTAAATGAGGACCTGGTGCAGTGTGTAAACATCGCCACTTGGAAGACAGAGGCGGCTGGAAGTGGTGCTGGCGTCACATGCCATGTCAGCCTTCATAGGTTCTTGCTAACAGCATTTGCCCCAACAGTCTGTTCAGGCTAGACAAGGGATCTTTGTCACCGCTTGCTACACGTAAGTCACTACTGTGTGCACGGCAGCATTACGCTTGTACACCCAGGATGCCTCACTGAGTCTCAAGACACTTATTCAGGAGGGTCCTGCCAGGTTCTTGCACTAGGATGCAATGTTGCAGTCTAATCCCAATTGAGTACTTTCCAGGTAATTTGGCAGCATTTGGATGTCTGGCTAATACCAATTTTTTTTGTGAACTAAGGGAGTAGATTCGAGAACCCGCAGGGAGCCCGTGCAGAGCAGGGGGGTAGAGAACTCCACGCAGCAAGGGGCACCGAGTCGGGAGTCGAACCTGGTCACCTCTCGGTGCGAGAGGGCAAAGAGCGTCCGCCGCCCTCTCCCCGCTCATGGCGAACGCGTGGCTGGGGTCATGTCGTCGGGTGGCGCAGGGAGGAGCGGCGACGTGGGGAGGGGACGCCAGGTGGTGGCGCGCGCAGGTGACACAGTGATCCTGGGCTGTGACGTGAGCCACGGCGGACTGGGGAGGCCTCCTCCATACGTCATCGAGTGGTACAAGAACGAGATCCCCTTCCCGCTGCTCATCCAGTTCGGGTCGTACCCCCCGCGCATCGACCCCGCGTACGCAGGTACCGCCACCTCGACCACTTGCACACTCACGCACACAACGTTTGCCCCCCCCGCCCTCTCTGCCCCGCTCCGGCGTCTGATAAACGGTTCTGTAAACTTTTGAAATTGTGCCGCGATCAGTCGAAAGTTAATCTACCTGAGCCGACTCGCGCGACCGGTGGAATTTATTGTTCAACGTCGATTTGTGTTTGCACGATATTTCCGATGTCTCACCTGACGCGGTTGTTTGTGCCCTGATTTCTCTTCGATTCGTTGACGTACTTGAATTCTTCTACTTTTTTGTTTTGGTTTCGTCATTTTGATGGGCCAGGAAGACTCTTGCAAGACCTCTCATCGTGGCCTCTTGAGGGAGCTCTCACCTGGTCACACAGAATGTACTCGGATATGTTCCTCGCCATCGCTTGAAGTCGATCCAAGCTATTTTGGACACATGCTCGTAATCTTCAACGATGCGAGTTCAACCCCCGATGAAGCTCGGAGAGCTGAATGAAGTGCAAAATAACTCACAGACACCGCCTTGTTGTGAACGACCCAACGCAGAAGATCCCTGGGTTTGATCTTCCAAGAAGCTCATGGTCCACCCTAAACCGCATCCATTGCACAAACCATGGCAGTAGATGCAGATACCTGATGCACAAATGGAAAATGTAAAACTCTCCAGTAGCAGTGAGCGACTGTGGTGGTCATCAAGAACAGACCTTACAGCGTCTAATGATGCAACGACCGATCCACAAATATAAAAGAGACATCACAGGGATACACTCCGGCACTCCTGACGCGGTTGCCTGGCTTGACCACCTGAATGTGAGATTGTAGTTATTGCTCTGCATGAACTTGAAACGTGACCCCCCCCGCCCCCCTTTGTGGATGGCAGAGACACTCTGGGCGTGGATTCTGTGCCACTGCGCTCGGCACCACGGCCGTGGTGCACATCTCTCTGGTGTGCATCCTGATCGTACCGCATGTCGTTCAGCGTGATGTCCGACGTTTCACTCGATGAGCTGGGAGCTTCTTCAGCAACTCATTTAAGAAGCGACACTCTCTCTCCCCCACCACCCCCTGACCCTTTCTGTTCCTTTACTTTTTTCCTCTTCCCTCGCATTCCCTTCCCCATGTAAGAACCCACAGCCCCTGTGTGAGTGGGGGTAGTGAGCCCATCTCCTTCCCCTTCCCAGAACCCACGAGCACTGAGTTTGGACTTCGGTCGTCTGTGGAATTTCCCCCCCCCCACCCCCCTCCATTATTACGGTCCATGGCTTTTACGGAGCTCTTGTCAAATAATAATAATAATAATATAAATTTAAAAAAATCTCCAATCTCTACCTACCTGGAATACTCGATGTATATACCTGAAAAAGTAAACAGCTCCACGGTAGAGATGGAGCGGTGAAATCAGGCCACGTGCCGGAGAAAGATTGATTGTCGCACCGCATGACAATGAGAGATGGTGACGACCTTGGGGGGGGGGGGGGGGATGCCTTTAATCCAGCAGTCGATGGATCATGGCTGACGACGATGACGCACCGTGTGCGTGCTGTCCTCACGTAGCGTGGCTTAGACGCTGCAATTCTGCCGCGGTGTACTCCGAGTGTCGTCTCTGCAAATCGGGATGCACGCGCCATTTGTCATTCGCTGCTCAAGAGAGCTGCATTGTGGGAAAAATTCCAACATTGCTTTTCTGGCCCCTCCATCCTCCCACCCACGCATCACACCCACCACGACCTTCTTGGCCAAATCACATCCTGAGTGCCTTCCCCATGGCAATCGATGCTGAACTTGGCGGGGTTTGCCGCTCCTCTGCACGCCAGAAGTCTCCTCCATCATTCTGTCGGTGGGGTCCAACTCCACGACCTGTGCGGTCACACGGCAACGTTTCTCCCGCCTCAAAACCCCCGCGCCCCTCTCCGCTATCTCCGCGACGTGCACGCCGCCACTCGTGAGAAAGGGAGGGAGGAGCGCTCTTCTCCCGCGTCTCCTCACGGGCGCACTGCCGGAGGCTCGCCCGCTTTCGCGAGGGCTTGGTGGCACCGTGCCAACGCGCGATGCTTACCCGATATCTGTGGGCATAGCAGCCGGTGTTACGTGACCCATGTGAAAGCCGCCCCGGCTAAACCAACGTCTCGTCTCTCTCTCTCCCCAGTCCCGTGGCAGCTGTTCCCTCCTACGTGCGCAGGCTCTGATTTACTCACAAAGCTGTCGATGTCTTCTTCAACATTTTGGCAGCGATGCCACGCAGCCACCCATCGTGGGTGGGTGGCATCTCCATTCCCACCTCCTCTGTAGCTTCGTCTTCTCGAAAATGTTGTCAGTGTTCTCTGAGATATTTATTTTCCCACGTCTCAGCAGTTCAGTAGAATTCTTAAGTTATTCCGTAGCTATTAGCATGCCTAAATTTTCTCCAAGGAGCCGCCCAAACTGTCTCCATCCCATGGACGTTCTGTACCGCAGCTGCCAAGCCTTAATGGGTTCAACTCGATTTCCTCAATCTGCCCTTGTCACTAATTCCATTGACTCTTGAGGAATATTTTGGTTCCTGTTCTTGTAAAGGCGTCCCTCTACGCCTCTCCCCGCTCCTGTCGGGAAGCTGCCGTGGTTGTAATTGCCAGCAACGTTGGACGCAAGCCAGATGTCTCCGGTTCAAGCAACGGGGCAAGTTTCTTAAAACCTCACTCCTCCGCCTCTTGTCCACCCCAGGATTCGACAGTGAATCGGTTCACCGCAGATTTGTCGATCGGCAGGTCACGTGGTGGTGGGGTAAAGTGTAAGTAACTCCCGCTTCTTCCGAGATGTCTGACCAGCGTGGAAGAGTAGGCCAAATATCCTCCGGAGAGGGGCTCTCTAGAGCTCCCTCTCGTGGAGGCCCTTCTGCCAGCAGTGGCGTAAGCAGGCAATTGCAGGGCTGCGCCTTTACCCTTTCACCTTCACCTGCTTCTGCTAACGTGCATTGTACGTGCATCGTAAATAGTTCCGTTCACGCTGAAATAATGACATTCTACCTTCGTAAATATATTTATAAATGTGCACGCAACTCTTATAATCGAGGTTATCACGAGTAAATCGATCCACATTTAATACGGGTTGACCCCACACGAGATTATCGTGAGTTTATGAATGCGTGTGGCTGTCCGTTAGCCAGAGTTGACTGGAAGGGGCTTATACTGTAAGCCACGTGTTTGAACATCCTGGCGTGTTGTTTCCGAGGCGCGTGCCATCACCGATCAACTGGAGCTGCAGCCGACGCAAGCCCCGCGGTGCCGCGTGATGGCCATCTCCCCCAGCCCGACCGCTCGGAGCTGTGTTGAGCAGCGAGAACCCCTCGCTGCTTCCCCTTCTTGGTGGGGGGTGGGGGGGGGACACCTATGAGGAGCGGAGGTTGCGTCAGGTGAAGCCTCCGTGGGAGGGGACACGAAGACCGCTGTGGCGTTTTACATGGAGCACCGAGTCGGAGAGGATTCCTGGATGTGGTGCACGTGGAGGCTGATGCTTAAATAGATTACCATCGGACCTCGCTTTTGATCTCTCGGGCTTAGCTTTATAAGCGGATTTCAACGCCGATCCCTTCCGAACAAGAACGCTCGACATTTGTGATGAAACACGTGGCCGGTCCTGCGGCTCTTCCTCTGAGGAGAGCGCACAAGTCTGTCCGAGACAATTCTCGTAACACAGTCGGCACCTTCAGTAATCTCCCATCACGCAGTGCGCCCTACGCTCGGCTCTGCTGTCTCGCTCTGGTGCCGTATGAAACCGACAAGTTGATTTCGCTCTATGGGCAAGGGCCGGGGTCAATGGGACTCGCTTGAAACCAAAGGAAACACTGCAATCGTTTAGAGCGGCACTCTCAAGCACGACCAGACTCACTCGGGCACAGAGACTAACTCGTGCACGCAGTGTAAAGATATAACCTGTAAACATCAAATCTCACAGCTTCTCGCACCTGTTGTCAAGCTTAGCGCCGCTAACGTCGCACTGCAGGGCCCCGCGGCTGTGGTGCGTGGTGGTGGTGGGGGTGGTGCCGATGCTGCACCCGGCCTATGATCCAGCACTGTGGAGGAGGCGACGGTTGGTGGATCACACACGGATGGTTGTGAGAACTCCCTTCACGTGGGCGTCAAGAAGGATCCATACCCCGGGTTGCCAGGAGAATGCAGTTTAGCAGAGTGCAGACGAATGTCATCTGCCCCTTCTCTAAGGTAAGGGATAGAGCGTTGCCCCCACGTACGCGTGGGTTTTCTCCAGGTGCTCCGGTTTCCACCCACTTGTATAATAATAAGCACTCATTAATTAACACATCTTAATATATAGATGACCGCAGAACTTGGGCAATCGTTGGCAGCACCGACTCACCGCCTGGCTGCCACCCTCTGGCTCGTCTGTGGTTCCTTGGCGACATCAAGAGATGCAATTCGCAAGACTTATGGCGTTACGTAAAACGGAAAATCTTAATAATAACAATAGCAACAACTGAAATTGGTGAAGATTTTGGCACTTAAAATATTTCTTCTTCCATGTGGCTCAACCAGGGCAGCCGTGGGAGATGACCGAGGCAGCAATTGAGCCCGACCCATTTGCGGTCGCACGCGAATTTTTCTGGATTGGGTCCGAGCATCTCCCCCCCCCCCCCCCCCCCCCGTCTCGAGCTCCTCTCCACCCACGCCACCGCTGCTGCTTTGGGGGCACTTCACAGGAACTGACGTCTGTAGATGCCTGGCCGTGGGGCACTGGAGTACCGCGCGGGGGGGGGGGGGTAGCGAAAGCTCGGCAGGAGAAACGTTCCCTCCCACCCTCCCTCCCACCCTCCCTCCCCCCATCCCTCCATCCATCCCTCCCTCCATCCCTCCATCCCTCCCTCCATCCTTCCCTCCCTCCCTCCATCCCTCCCTCCCACCATCCCTCCCTCCCTCAATCCATCCCTCCATTCCTCCCTCCCTCCATCCCTCCCTCCATCCCTCCCTCCATCCCTCGATCCATCCCTCCATTCCTCCCTCCCTCCATCCCTCCATCCCTCCCTCCCTCCCTGCTTCCCTGCATCCATCCATCCATCCATCCCTCCATCCCTCCCTACCTCCCTCCATCCCTCCATCCCTCCCTCCCTCCCTCCCTCCATCCCTCCCTCCGTGCATCCCTCCCTCCGTCCCTCCCTCTCTCCCTCCATCCCTCCCACCCTCCATCTATCACCTCCTCTCCCTCCACCCACCGACTGCCCCCCTCAGCATCTACGCTCGGGTGTTGCCGGCACTGCGTTCCGCGTCCAAGCGGCGGTGCAGTGGCGTGCCGAGCCCACTGACTGTCACACGCGGGGGGGGGGGGGGAGAGTTTCTAAGGACAGTGGGGGGGCGGGGGGGGGGGGAGAGATGCGGTTCCCAAAATGTCTAGCTTTTTAAACGATGCCTTACATTTTATGCAATAGCATCCAATGTATTCTTCTCCGGTCAATACCAATCATACAATCCATGTTCTGGGTCTCAAGGGGGGAAGGGTGCGGTCGTCCCCCACCGTCGCCCTCTCCCCCTCGCCCGTCCCCCCGTCACGTCAGGCGTGTGGATCGCCCACGCCGCCCGCATGCCGTGTGACCCACGTGCAGCGCACATTCAGATAGAACACTTTGACGTCTGGCAAAGGTGCAGCCCTGCAAGTGCCAGCTGACGCCACTCCAAGCGGAATGACCTCCAACTCGAGGCAACTCTCGACAGCCACTCGAGTGGATATTTGGTCTATTCCTCCTCAAGCTGGGCAGACGTCTTAGAGGAGGTTGAAGTGCCCACATTTTACCCCACTGCACACGACCTGCGAATCATAGATGAACTCCGTCCCTCTACGCCTCTCCCCGCTCCTGTCGGGAAGCTGCCGTGGTTGTAATGGCCAGCAACGTTGGACGCAAGCCAGATGTCTCCGGTTCAAGCAACGGGGCAAGTTTCTTAAAACCTCACTCCTCCGCCTCTTGTCCACCCCAGGAGTCGACGGTGAATCGGTTCACCGCAGATTTGTCGATCGGGAAGTCACGTGGTGGTGGGGTAAAGTGTAAGTAACTCCCGCTTCTTCCGAGATGTCTGACCGGCGTGGAAGAGTAGGCCAAATACCCTTCAGATTCTGAAGTCTGATAGAATCGGGCACATTCCAGCTGATTTACTCATTGGCCTAGATTTCACGACACCCACGAACGTCATCCATCATGGCCAATCCACTGGCAACCCCAAGGCTTCCCCATACTAATCTACCTGGCCCTTGCGCGCCAACTGATTTCGTCGCTCCATCTCCTCAGTGCACGACAAGCGGTACGAGCTACATTCATCTGGTTTACTTCCCACAAACGGTTCAGGTTTGGACACCGGGAATGTAAAAACGTTATGACGACTTATCTCACTCTTCTTGTGTGGTTTCGGCCCCCGTGCACACCATGGCCCATCAAACCAACTGAAAATTCGAAGAAAGAAAAATAGAAAAAGATTTTTCATAGTCGTGAGCGTTTGTGTTTCCCAAACGAATTCACGATGTTATCTCAAATGCGAGTACAACGTTTGGGAGTGGGAATGCGAGAGAGCCGGAGATGTGAACGTGAACGGTCTGAAGTCGTGATGATTTGTGATGATGCGGCAAATGCCTCGGCGAAGGGGGCGGGGGGATTGAATCACGACTTCTCGACACAGAAGCTTCTGGAATTACGGCCGCCCCCTCCTCGGGAAAGTTTTCATCCTCTCGTTCACACAACACAACACTTGGATTTATTATTCATGAAGCGGGAGCCTCTTCTAAAAGTGATATTTATCAGCAGGGTACTTTGGCTGACAAACGGAGCCGGTTCTAAAGTGAGGTGGGAAGGGTGGCGCGAGTTTGATTTAAAAATAAAATCTCAGGCAGCAACATTTTATAGTGGGCCGCCATGGTGGCGAGATGTTAACTACCTCGCCGGGCATACAGGAGCTCATCGGTTCGATGCTGACCCTGATGCCTGCTCTATATTTGGGGTTTGCATGTCTCTCACCCCGTGGTCACATGGATTTTTCTCCGAGTCCTTTGGTTTTCCCTCAATTTAAAATCATGCATTAAGAGTATTTGGCTTCTATAAATATCTACATGATAAGCTACTTCGTTGGGCTATCATTTATGATAGTCAGGTCACTTCTGAAAAAGAGCGACATAGCTCAGTGGTAAAATAACAAATAGTTTTTTTCTGCGGCTGCTACATTGGCCAGAGTTGCCAATCATACAGAGGACTCTAACGGCACGGTGTGTGAGTTACATTCCTGTGTAAAATATCACAAAAAAAGGTTTGGCCCGTGTGGAAGAGTAGGCCAAATACCCCCACGTGGGGCCCTCTAAAGCGCCCTCTAGTTGAGACCCTTGCACGTGCGTGAGCAAAGAACTGCAGGGCTGTTCTAGATTTAAAGCTTTCGTGACTGCAAGGATCCATACTCTTTGGTTCTATTCGGTAAAGTCATGTAGGTAAAAAATAAAACAACAAAAATCACGACGTTTCGGCCACAACACAAGCGGCCTTCGTCAAGTGAAGGGACCAGGCTGTCTCGAGGACAGCGCTGGAGTGAAACACAGCCACGCTCAGACCGCGACCTATAAGCTGTGTGCGAGGAAACAAGGTGCCTTGACAAAGGAATTAGCATAAAAAATAGCATTTGATTGGTGGGGTAAACTCCCCCTCCCGCGCCAACCGGCATGTGCACCCGCATGTACACCACCTCTACACCGTTCATCATGTTAAGTCGGCCAATCAAATTCTAATTTTTATGCTAATTCCTTTGTCAAGGCACCTTGTTTCCTCGCACACAGCTTAAAGGTCGTGGTCTGAGCGTGGCTGTGTTTCACTCCAGCGCTGTCCTCGAGACAGCCTGATCCCTTCACCTGATGAAGGCCGCTTGTGTTGTGGCCGAAACGTCGTGATTTTTGTTGTTTTATTTTTTACCTACGTGACTTTACCGAATAACTGCAGGGCTGCACATTTACCTCTTATTTTATGTTTTAATAACTTTTTTATGTCCTTGGTTCTTTCGGTAAAGTCACGTAGAAGGGAAACAATAAAATAATACAAATATAATAGCTCTTTATCAGAAGCGACCTGGCCACAAACGATAGCTCAACGAAGTGGCTTATAATTTGGACATTTATATCAGCCAAATACTCTAAACGCATGATTACAATTTTTGAGGGAAAAACTGGAAGACCCGGAGAAAAATCCACGTGACCACGGGGAGAACAAGCAAACTCCAAATATACAGGCATCAGGGTTAGGATTGAACCCATGAACTCCTGTACACCAGGCGAAGTAGTTAACATCTTGCTACCGTAGCACCCTATTTATTATCAGCATGGAGCTGTCCAGCCTCCGAGTACAAGGGAAGAAGCACAGAGAGAAGTGTTGTGACTGGCAGTTTGTTGAGCGAGTGAGTGGCCGGGTGAGTAGGTGGGTGAGTTGTTGTGACCAACAGTATGGCAGTGCGGATTGCATGAAACGGTCATCTCGTAGACTGAGTCCTCAACACGGGTGCAGGAATCGATGGGCGAAGTTCACGGTGGTAGCAACGATAGAGGAGCAATAAGGAGGAGCTGGCGTCCGACCGTGGATAATGGAGCGAGTGGCTGTGTTGCGCGTGTGCAGGGAGGGTGAGCCTCTACGAGATGGGCTCTCTGCGCATGGAGACGGTGCAAGCCGAGGATTCGGGCTGGTACGAGTGTAACGTGCTCTTCCTGGACAAGCAGTACGACCCCTTCGCCAACGGAACTCGCACCTACCTGGCCGTGCGTGGTACGCTCCGGTATCCCCCCACCCCCGCTCCTCCTCTTGGCCCAGGTCTGACGGGTGTGGTGGGGATGCAGCCATCTCGCAGGGTGATGGCTCGGTAGGCCACGCGCTTTGGGAATGTGAGGAAGCCGACGAGCCGACGAAGCTCTCAGTTGCAGATGTCCAGTAGGGGCGGCGGTGGTTACAATAAACAACAAATGGTACAGAAAACGATAGGAGTGCAAAGTAGAGAATAGGTAAGTCACGAAAAATAAATAAAGTATATAAGTGTAAATTGAAGAAGTACATACATTAGCTATGGGACTGGTGTAGGCCAATCTGTATTATATTATCAGAGCATGTTTGTTTGCATGTTTTGCCACATGTCATGCAGACTTGATTCCTTGCACATGGTTTCTATTTGGTGTTTGAACATCTTAACACATCTATAGTATATTTTTTTTGGGTTAGATCACATAAATATAAATGTGTCGTTAAACCCGCCACCATCCGACACAGCCAATTAGTAAGGTTTGTCACGTAAACAGAACATGCCAATTCATTATTAGTACAGCACACCGGAATGTTGGAGAGAAAATCGTGTTGATTTACAGCAAGGGTAAAACCTATTATTATTTTTCACAATTACTTACATTCCTACCGATGTTTTAGCACTATATGCAAGCTTGGGCAAGGCAACAAAAACAGTCCCAGACCACGCCGAAACAAAGAGGCGCCCTACGTTAGGTCCCGTCATAGGAATGTCGAATTGCCAACACCGGCTTAGAACTGTGAAACGGGAGATCAGCACGGCCTCCATGCTCAGTGAATAATTTCAGCAACGAATCACATTCGCTGTTGACTGCGGTGTTATGCAGGTATCACGCCACGTTGGGGAATCATAAAACCATTAGTACGTTTTGGTATTTGCGCAAATATAATTTTCTAGCACAAGGCAATCGCAAAGGCTGCTGCGATGTTTCGCAGACACCTGTCCGCAAGTGCTTTCACATGGGAGAGCGTGTGACGTTGCTTAGTGGCTTTGACCCAATTCACTCTCAACTCAACGTGCTCGTTCGGTGACACTGCCTGAAAAGGGGAACGCACGTAATTGGCAACGTTTCGGGAAACGGCCCCTTCTATAAAAAGCACACAATGTCACAAATTACCCATCAAGGTAAAAAAAATTACCCGTCTAGGTAATTTATGTAATTTGTGAAATTACGCATCTAGGTAATTTGTGAACGGTGTATGAATTTGGCAATTTGTGTGCCCACTTGATAAAGGTAATGGTAGGTTTGTTTTGGCCGATTGATTCAAGTGGCATTTTTATTCCCCGCCCTCAAAATAGTTGCTGGACTCTGTAGAAATACGAGTGATGCAGATATCGCACGGGTAAAGGTGCAACCATTTGCTCACAGCACTGTTGGAGGATGAGCTCAATGGAGCCCTCCTAGAGGGTATTTGACAAACTCGTCCACACGCCATTCCTAAATCCCTCCGCCTCTGCCCGCCCAGCTGTGTTATTGTAGTGCGGGTAACGTGTGGCTACTCCCGCCTCTTCCAATAAGTCTGGCCGGTGTGGAAGAGTAGGCCAAATACCCTCTAACGCCCTATAGTAGGGGCTCTCTAGAGCTCCATTTAGTGGAGGGCCCTTCCATCAGCAGTGGCGTTGAGCAGGGCAATGCGGGGGCCACCCCTTTGCCTTATACACACATTGTAGAGGCCCCACATGTTTAAGACGTACTTGCCCATGAGAAATGCTCTTCGCTCCAGGCCACAGTGCGCATGGTGAGATCTCTCAATGAGAGAGCTGGATTTTTTTTGTGTGAGGAAAAAAGTTCACACATTTGCGTCGACCTTTCATAGTGTGTGGAGCGCAGTGTCTCGGTCCTTCCCTTTTGGGATGAAGAGGAATCCTCCAGAGAGCCCTCGGCTATGCCAGGAGTCCTCAGTCGTTTGGCTGGCAGACAGAGTCCATTGATTTTCACGATCACTTAAACCTAGATTCATCAAGTTGATGTGGTGAAATGTCTTTTGTTTGCTTGTTTTTTTATTCAAGGAATCCGGTTGGGTAGCAATGCGGTAGAACATTTTACTTAATACATTAATGGAAATCTGAGAACTTTTATATATTTTACTCTATTATACCAGGTCAGGCCCACTGAGCTACATAGATATTTTTCTGCAGCGACCTAGCCACAGATAATCGCTTAATGAAGTGGGTTATCCCATGGAAATTTATAGCAGCCGCATGCTGTCAACGTTTTTAGATTTTAAATATGGAGGGGATAATAAGAGGAACCAGAGAAACATCTATTTGACCACGGGAAGAGAGAGAGAGACGCAAACCCCAAATATACAGTCATCAGAGTCTGGGTTGAACCCATGACATCCTGCATACCAGGCAAAGGAATTAACATCTCGCTACTGTGGCACCCTCCTGATTTTGGGGGGGAGAGATTAACGAGCGAGGTTCACAACAACCGTTGTAGTAGGAATTAGAAGAATGACGAGGAGACGCGATCGACCGCCGACGTTTGCGTTTTTTGGTCCGGCAGCTCCACCCCGGTTCCGGGACACTCCACCACCCTACATGGAGGTGCGCCAGGGCTCGGAGGTGACGCTGGCGTGCAGCGCCTACGGGCGCCCTGAGCCCATCGTGGGCTGGCGCAAGGACGGCCGCCGTCTGCCCAATGGCGCCAAGTACCAGGTGCGGGTACCGACCACCATAACCGCCACCACCACCGCCCTGTATCAGCAGCAGCAGCTACCCTCCACCACAACTCGCCAGTGATTCGTCTAAGCCTGAATTGTTTTGTGAGTTTTATGGATAGGCGTGCCGTGCAATCTGGTAGTAGTACCTTCTGCCAAAAATTCCTGTACCAAGCCGACTGAGCAGCGTTGCAGAGAGTGAGGAGTTAGGAATGAAACCCTGGCCACAAGTGCCGGTGAGCTGCAGCATGGACCACGGCTTACCGCGGGACGCTGCCACGTGGTGTACTTCATGGTTCACTTCTCACACCAGACTCGCGAGCTAGAGGTTACCGCTTCGGTTCTGTCTCCCGGCACGACAGTTGAACCAGCGGCGCAAATTCTGCAATCTTCTCACCTCTGTCCACCCAGTAGTGTAAATGGGAAGCGCTACAGCGAGCCGATTGGCGGGTTGCATGTGTAGTGGGATAAAGTGTGGGTACTCCCACTGTCTCCACGATGTCTGGCCAGTGTTGAAGACTAGGCTAGAGGAAGTCTCTGGAGCTTCAAGTGAAGGCCCTTCAGCCAGCCCCCATCTTGGTGGGCCACTGGCTTGTCCACTGCACCATCTCAGTGGGCCACTGGCCTGTCCATTACACAATCTCAGTGGGCCACTGGCTTGTCCACTGCACCATCTCAGTGGGCCACTGGCCTGTCCATTACACAATCTTAGTGGGCCACTGGCTTGTCCACTGCACCATTTCAGTGGGCCATTGGCCTGTCCACTGCACCATCTTAGTGGGCCACTCGTCCGTCCACTGCACCATCTTAGTGGGCCCCTCGTCCGTCCACTGCATCATCTTAGTGGGCCATTGGCCTGTCCACTGCACCATCTTAGTGGGCCACTCGTCCGTCCACTGCACCATCTTAGTGGGCCCCTCGTCCGTCCACTGCACCATCTTAGTGGCCCACTGGCCTGTCCACTGCACCATCTTAGTGGCCCACTGGCCTGTCCACTGCACCATCTCAGTGGGCCACTGGCCTGTCCACTCCACCATCTCACATGTTAAGGGAAAATAATTTGTAAAAATCTCTCTCTACACTCAGACATTTACATAATAATTACTGTCACTGGGTTTCCAATTTGCTTTTTTGCCTGAATAACTGCAGTTTGCTCAAGTGTCAAATCGATTAGACGCACGAAAAATTTGTACTCGCTTAGAGCCCAGTGCGTTGAGGGCGCGGTGAGCGAGATTCCAGGCAGGTGGCTGAGTGGTAATAATAGCTCGTTTTCAATGGGGGACCTGGTTACGCCATAGAAACCTGGTTACAGCAAAACACCCGGACAAAACCAAGCCACAGACAACTGCACGGGGCCAGTCAGCACGAAGATTACAGCAAGGCTGGAAGAATGCACCTCCGATTAGCACGGTTGACTATGTATGGTGTGAAAGAAGTTCAACATACAAATGTACACTGAGTATTGGGTGCAAATCAAATGGGAAGTGGAATAGTTGAAATCCTGGCTGGGGAGGTTGGTTTGGCCCATTATTCATCTGGGGATCGATCAAATGAGTACTGCTTTGTGGAGAAGTCAACAGTGCTTGTTCTATTTAGAGGCTTCCCCCCCTGTCTATGAACGTGGGATTTCCACCACTGGCTCAGGGCCATAAGTAAGAGATGAGCGCCGATGCTTCGATGCTTATGAGAACAGGAACTCACTCTGACTTGCTGTTATTTCACTGTTCATTTGTATTTTATGGTTCTTTCGGTAAAGTCACGTAGATAAAAAAAAATAGAGTGAATAAAAAATAATAGAAATATCATGACGTTTCGATCGCGACACCAGCAATCGTCATCAGAAGAAAAAAGAGGGGGAAAGCTGCTGAGGCAGGCTATTTATAAAGGTTTAGAGATGGGCAGGGCAGCTAATGTTAATGTTGGAGAGGTCTCCGACACCGGCAGTAGGTCTACACCAATCAAAGAGCTGTTTATAAAGATTTAGAGATGGGCGGGGCAGCTAATGTTAATGTAGGAGAGGTCTCCGAGACCGGCAGTAGGTCTACACCAATCAGAGAGCTGTTTATAAAGATTTAGAGATGGGCGGGGCAGCTAATGTTAATGTTGGAGAAGGCTCCGACACCGGCAGTAGGTCTACACCAATCAAAGCATTGCACCTCGCTCCACACACCCACACTGCTGACAGTGGAGGTGGACAAGAAAACACAAATCAAGTCATGATCCAAAGTGGTTGATGACATCTGTCCAATGATTGCTGAGCTTAAAACCGTCGTCTCGGTTGAAATTGTGTCTGTGTCTATATATATGGATGGCTTCGTGAGCTAATCTTTGTTGATAGCCAGTCGGCTTGCAAAGTACCATCGTCTTAGAGAAATCAGTTTCATGTGAGCCAGCCGCATTAAAGTAATTTATCAGCCACGGCAGAAGTATTGGTCCTGCAGTGTGGGTGTGTGGAGCGAGGTGCAATGCTTTGATTGGTGTAGACCTACTGCCGGTATCGGAGACCTCTCCTACATTAACATTAGCTGCCCCGCCCATCTCTAAATCTTTATAAACAGCTCTTTGATTGGTGTAGACCTACTGCCTATGTCGGAGACCTCTCCTACATTAACATTAGCTGCCCCGCCCATCTCTAAACCTTTATAAATAGCCTGCCTCCGCAGATTCCCCCCCCCCCCTTTTTTTCTACTGATAATGATTACTTGTGTTGCGATCGAAACGTCGTGATATTTTTATTATTTTTTATTCACTTTATTTTCATTTTGATTTTGATTATGCTATTATTATTTTTTATCTACGTGACTTTACCGAAAGAACCATATAATATGAATTCCTGCAGTCACGAGAGTTTTAAGTCAAAATTAGTTAATTTGTACCAAAGTAGATTTTATTTTATCGTCCGGGTCGATGTAAACGTTTTCACTGAAATCTTCGCGCGATGCTCAGATTTGGCACGACGCACGACCTTCATGGGGTGGCGACGTGGGAATGTAACCACGTGCAAGCCATGCACTTCACGTTGAGTATAAATCAGTGTCAGATTTGAACACCGCTTTCAGCCAGACTTAGCCCTTGAGTGCCGATGCTGACTGCTGCTTGCGTGCGTGTATGTGCGCTGACGGAAGTTGTTGATTAGGGCGGGGGGGGGGGAATCATCCACGGCTACGCTCGGCTTAGAGAGAGAGGCAACTTCGCCTCGATTCATTTCAGTGTCTAGGAATGCGTTACATCGCCAAGCTGAAACTCTGCGCTTACTTGGCCGAAATGAGACTCCCCGCATTCATTTCACGCGTCACTTGTCAATGCGAAAGCAAGGTGGAGGGTAAAGCGCAGCCCTGCAATTGGTCACTGGCGCCACCACTGATGGAACGGTCTGCACTCAGTGGAGCACTAGAGAGCCCTTCTGGAGGGTATTTAGGCCTACTTCTCCACGCTGGCCCGACGTCCTGTAAAAGTGCAGGCGATGCTCACACTTGACCTCACCACACGCGACCTGTCTATTGACCTACACCGGAGCTGCACCCATTCGCGCTGCAGGATGGGCATAGATGGTGTGGGAGGGGGGTGGCGGGGCCAGGGATTTCAGAAACTTTGCATTGCTCCAACCGCCGTGCCGGGATATCAAATCGAAGTGGGCCAACTTTGTGCACTGAGCAGCGCACCCCACGATGGCAGCTTCCCGTCGTCCCAACAAAGCCTTCCAAGCAGACGCTGAGCACGCGTTCCACATTTACCGCTGCACCATCCCCGGCATCGCGCGACATTCAGCGTCCAGATGCTAACTACCTCACCTGGTATACAGGAGGTCGTGGGTTCAATCCCAACCCTGATGCCTGTTGTATATTTAGAGTTTGCGTGTCTCTCTCCCCGTGGTCGCGTGGATTTTTTTCCAGGTCCTCCGGTTTTCCCCTCCACATTTTGAATCAAAATACGTATTCGAGTATTTGGCTGCTATACATTTACATGGAATAAGCAACTTTGAGCTACGTAGCTTAGTGAGCCTTCCCTGCTAATATGAAAATAGTTTTTACTTTAGTTTAATGGGGGGCAAGATCTCTCGCTCTCTATCTCGAGGGAATCTGGGGTAGGACGAAGAGAGGCCGTCACCACGGAGATCCGCCGCGCGTCACTGTTCTGCCAACACGTGTCCGTTCGTAGGCTTGCAGGGCGCAGCGTTAAACATCAATTTATTTAGTCGTAGCATTCAGTGGAGGGCACCGTGATGACGTTCACTCGTCACAGTTATTGATTAGGCATTGTCAATGACTCCTTTGATGACTGCTATTGTTTATGGGAGTGTTTTTTCAGCACGGTATTTGGGGCGTTATTCGTTTGCTTTTTTTGCGAGCCACTGTTGTGTGTGTGTGTAGTAGCACCATGGCTCTCGCGTGGGCCGTGGTGAGTGACATTGCGTGCGCCAATTCAAGGGTGGCGCGACTCTCGGCGCGCGACATCACGCGGGTGGGCACGCAATCTGTGGTCCGGCTCACTGTCGCGTTCATTTACAAGCGGGCTCGCTCGCTCTCTATCTTATTCCGCACAACACCTCCTTTGGTGTTTGTCCGATGCTATATGGAGCTATGAAGCTGCTGCTGTTGTGTAAATTAACAAACGACTGATGCGATGGGGCACGGGGGGCGGGGGTGAAGTTGTCAGCGAGTGACGGGCGTCGCGATACGTTTAGCTCCCTGCTGCTGCTGCTGCTCTGCGGTGCCCGGTGGCATCTGTCCCAGTGCGTTGCGGCCGTCACCGTGACGCTGCCCCCCCCCACTAATGAGCTCCTCCGGATGGTCCTCACCTATATCGACTGAGCCCGTTTGGCTTGAGTGGCTGCTGTCACGTTGGATCTGCTCCACACGAAATGCAGCGGATTAGCACGAGCGGCGGTGGAGGCTGCGCCGGTGCCGTCAAACATCACCATTTGCGCACCGCCGGCTTCACAGTTCTTTTCCGGCAAGGGATTGTTTTTGTTGTTATTTTCATTAGAAACTGAGGGTG